CTTGACGATAAAGACTCCTGGCCGTGTAACTCAATAGCACGTTCATCTGATCCAAGTCCATTCCTTGCATTCCTTGTCCATCTTCTCAAAATGAAATGAGATGGTAATGTAAGTACATTAGTTACTGTGAAGACGGTTAATACATGTCTGCAAAGAATGCCGGAATACTCGAACATTTGACAGCTACAATTAGCTCTCATGTCTGGATAATTTAACGTGACAACATATGCCTTCTGGTCATCCTCAAATTTAGCAACCCGAAAAGTGCTAAGAGTTGCATCACCTTCGATTCGATTTGCAGTATAGACAAAAGTTTCAACAAGCTCTTCTTGAAATTTTGCAAATATTTTTCTCGTATAAAGATTTGCTGCTTGCTTCTCCATAGGAGATGGCGTCCTCAATACAGGTGTAGTGCACATTGTGTCAAAGTCTGCCTCTATTTCCTTTTCAAACCAATTTTCTAAAGCTCTTTCATACTGCCTAAAGAACAATGGTAATGCGGTCTGCTGATTCACATATCCATCAAAAAAGGAATTATCATATCCTTGATTGGGAGATACTACAGCAAAAAATGAATCACGGACATACACGGGAACCCACTGAGCACGTGCGTTATATAATGATTGGAGCCAATCATTTCGTCCTAAATTATACTTTTCAATGATACAATTCCAGGCAGACTCAAATTCCTCAATAGTTTCAGTCAAGTTGATACAATTGTAAAGTTCGACTTGAAAATTCGGATATGTGAGACATACATGAGCTAACTTCTGCTGACCTTCTCTTAACACGTGCCATTTGCTAATGCAGTGTCGGGCGTCGGGAAACACTTGAGCAATAGCTACATGTATGGCTCTGTCTTGATCCGTGGTAACTGAAACAGGCTGACGATTATTCATTGCTGTTAGAAATGTTTTGAACAACCAAACAAAAGAAGCCTCAGATTCATCAAGAAGTAAAGCACATCCAAACAAAATTGTCTGACCATGATGGTTCACTCCAGTGAATGGTGCAAAGGGAACTCTGAACTGGTTAACTCTGTACATAGTGTCCAATGTAACTGCATCACCAAAATGACTGTAAGCTGCTCGAGACCTTGCATCAGCCCAAAATACATTAGCCATACGATTATCTTCGTCAAGTTGTATTGCATAAAAAAATCCAGGATTCTCAGATTGCATTTTCTTAAAATATTCCAGCATATTCTGAGCCTCCCTCCCTAGTGTCCTCTTTTGGCCAGCATTCCTAATGGGATAATTCATAGTTGAAGCATTATTAAGTGACCGATTAGCTTCCGCTTGAGATGTCTTCCAACCTCCACGAGTTTTACCTGCAGGTGCTCGGTTGTCGTCCATTAATACAGACATGACACCACTGGGAACACCTGCTGAACCAGTGTAAGCTTCAGTCATGGTCTTTGCAGCACCAGCGAAATGCCTGCGTGGCCGTAGATAATGCACCTTACTCAAATTGACTGTAGAATGACTATGCTCTTTTACAAACTTTGTGACAACCCATTTATCCTGATCTTTCAATTCTATCCTAAGCATTGCATCACAACTACCAGCAGGTTTTCTTTCTGAACACTCTCTAGCACATACAAATTCTCTACTAATTATAATTCCATCGGATTTAGAACGACTAAGTTGTCCAAGTTTTGAACTAAAACCAATGCGTCGAGCATACTCATCATAGAAGGTCTTTGCATTGCCTTCGGATTCAAATTCCATGCCTTCATACGGTTCGATAATTCCATCTTCATCATGAAATGCAGAATCTTCAGCAGTGTTGATTTCACCTTCATGAGGGTCAACATCACTATCATCTACAACTGCAGGATGAGCCAACCCATCAACCCCAACCATTTCATCCATCTAATCCACTGTGTAAATCCAAGTTATTTACCCAATAAGAAACCCAATATAAAAGGGAAAAGGCTATTCATTTTCGCTCCCGATGCAATTTAAATGCAATCTGTAACAAATTATCAAACCACAAAATATCATTAAGTTGTAATCCATAAGAACTCACCAGAGAAAAGAAAAACCAATTATAAATTATTGATGCAGCCAGCTTTCAACCAAACGAGATAACAACAACCTTCGCAAAACCTAAATTTGCTCCAAAACCTCAATTTGTCCCAACCCCCACAAGAAGGCTATGCTAGAAAGAAGTTCTATTCTAAAACTCATTAACATCTGTTACATTTCCAAATTTGCCCATTCATCTCTAAATTTCATGAAACATGGCGAGGTAGTCAACGTTCCAAAAAGTCACCATTGTCCTTGATCTAATGTAACTGCAAAATTCTCCAGCATACTACCAGTTAACTGAGAACCCACCTAAAAGTGTTTGGATAAAAATGTTGCATGAGATATAGAGAACGAGCAGTTAAGAAGTGAGGGAGGAGAACGTGATCAACATATTTGCTCAACTCCTTGCAAATATCACATCATTGAGGTCAATCATAGACCGTAAACTGGCATCTCCTTGAATGAAAGTCATTGGAATTGACCTTTCTCAGTTGTGAGATCAACATATTTGCTCAACTCCTTGCAAATATCACATCATTGAGGTCAATCATAGACCATAAACTGGCATCTCCTTGAATGAAAGTCATTGGAATTGACCTTTCTCAGTTGTGAGATCCCACATTGACTGGAGAGAGGAACGAAACATGTCTTATAAGGGTGTGTGGAAACCTCTCTCTAGCAGACGCATTTTAAAAACCTTGAGGGGAAGCCCGAAAGGGAAATCCCAAAGAGGACAATATCCGCTAGAGGTAGACTTGGGCCATTACAAATAGTATTAGAACCAGAGATCGGGCGGTGTACTAGTGAGGACGTTGGGCTCCCAAGGGGGGTGGATTGTGAGATCTCACATTGGCTAGAGAGGGGAATGAAGCATGTCTTATAAGGGTGTGTGGAAACCTCTCCCTAACAGACGCGTTTTAGAAACCTTAAGGAGAAGCTCAAAATAGAAAGTCCAAAGAGGACAATATCAGATAGCGGTAGACTTGGGATGTTACAAACAGCCACCAAAAAACTGAACCTCGTTAGAAACTCTACTGGCTAACGACTAATTGCCATTGAAACCGAAAGGCCAACATAAAATTCAGTAGAACCAAGAATGGTAATCCAACCACAAACTGATGAAATCTCCCTAAAGTAACAAGCATCTTGGCAATGCCTATATCTAACAAGTGCAATCCATAACCATATGCCCACATCTTCAAATTCAAGTTATTATAGCTAACAGTACCTCACTTTATCATGATCACACTTAGTCAATTCCCACACACTTAACACCAACAAATTCCTTGGTTAAAGAAAACAGCACCTATACTTGAGAGACAGAATTAAGTAATTGCATTAAAAACGTCGCAAATGACAATAAGAAACTCAAATCCCATTTTAAACGCATATCTCATTAAGCAGCCAATTGCAGACTACAATCGAGTAAAACCAAAGCCCTATGGCATAATAAAGAAACAAAGACGGAATTAAACCCTAGAAACTGGAAGAGACGAGAATCAACAAGAGGAAAATAGAGAGGGAATCATGGACGTGGACATACCTAGTTCGTCACAGTCTTGACCGTCCAGTCCAGTGACTGGCAGCGCCTAAAGCGACGGAGGCTGGTGGCCGGGAAGAGGAGGAGAGGGAAAATGAGGAGAGAGAGAGAGAGGGGGCGCGATCGAGGACGTTTAGAGTAATCCGATGTGCCATCATGTATTCTAGTTCGCTGAAGGACGAATCAAAAGAGGCCACGTGTTAGGACGTTGTCGTTGTTTCCAATTATTTCATCATATTTAGTGAATGCTACCGTGGTATTGTCGTCTACGATAAAAAATAATAATTAATGAATAAATATATATATATTTAAATATAATCAAAATCATCTTTATTTTTTAAACATTAAAAAACTTTATTTCTATCTCATGGGAATATTAATATCCTAAAAGTTTTTTTTTTTTTTTTTTTGAAGCATAAATGAATTGGGTACTCATAAATATTAAAAAAAGTTGTGAATATTCTCCGTGAATGTAACAGCTTACGCCTACCGCTAGCAAATATTATCTTTTTTAGACTTTTTCTCTCGGGCTTCCTCCCAAAGCTTTTAAAACACGTTACCTAGGGAGAAGTTTTTACACCCTTGTAAAATATGCTTCGTTCTCCCCAACCGATGCAACGGGGGATGGACATGAGATGGTGTGCCAGTAAGGACGTTGGGGCTTGAACGGGGTGGATTTGGTGTGCCATTTTTTGTAAGAGTGTAAAAACCTCTTCGTAGCATACACATTTTAAAAACTTTAAGGGAAAGCTCAAATAGGACAATATCTGCTAGCAGTGGACTTACATCTAACCGTCATTTTCGAGAGGTCAACTTAATTAAATCGTGAAATATGTTTTTTTTTTTACCAGCAATCTTATTTGGTTTCTCGACTCGTATTGCCATAATAGGCTGCCATTACGTATACATCTAAACTCAAGCTCAGACTCGATCGTTCACAGCATTTCCATTGCACAAAAGAGATAATAAATTATAAGAAATTTAATTATATCAATATTTCAACACTCTCTCTCAATTGTGGGCGTGAAAGCCGGTAGAAGTTCCACAAGTAGAAAGTGATATTACAAAACTTCGAACACGTAATTTCTTGCTCGTGTACTATGTTAAAACTCGAGATGACGAGTCACTGTAAATTACAGTCATATCAATATTTTAATACAAGTTTCGTTATTATCCTCTTAAGCTACCGTGTACCCGTTTTTTATCGAATAAATCATCATCTTTACCGTAATTCCAATATTAAAAAATGAAGTTGGAATAAATACCCTAAAAAATAAAGTGAGCTTTTTAGCTTTCAAACGATTCGTTAAAATCATGTATTTGGTGGAATTTTTATTTTTTAAATATCTATAAAATATATATTTATATTTATAAAATTAATTTATCCATTAAATTATTGACTTCCTATTTTTCTATTAAATCTCTTATTATTTTAAAATTCGTATATTTGAGGAGCGGAACCTTGAGGCGGCGCTACTGACAAGAGTGGTCACGATCAGCTCGGAGAAGGTCCGGCCAGGTTAGAAGCTCATCATCAGAAGGCATTACAACAAATTCTCAAATAACCAGAGGAAATTCGGCGTCCATGGGCAAGAAGATGAAGATCATCCCCGTGCTTCTGATCGGCTGCGGCGGTGTTGGCCGTCAGCTCCTCCACCACATCGTATCCTGCCGATCACTTCACGCTAAACAGGCATTTCTCCTCCTCTCTCTTGTCCGCTGCTTCTGACGTTCTTTAGAAATATATCGCTTTTAATTTTTCATGGGTTTCAATAATATTTAGAGCTTATCCATTTGTTTTGACCTGAGATTCGTAACCGATAGCATGATTCATACTCGATGCATTGCATTCATGGCAAATTCAGTGCATTGTTTAATTTGTTAAGAGTATTGTTTAAGTGTGGAGGATGTGGTAGGTGAGTGGTTGTGGTGCCACTACAACTACATTAGTGTTGGATGTGTTAGGTTGGCTTAAAATTTAATCTCACATTATAGAGTTCATGTCTGATGTGTATCCTTCTTGAGCTTTTCATGTTTGTGTATTGGCTAGACACCTTGGATCAAGCAAGCAAACAATTGATTTCACGTATTTCACGTAGGTCAAGTTGTGAGCACTTGGTCTGTGAGATCCCATATTGGTTGGGGAGGAGAATGAAATATTGTTTATAAGGGTGTAGAAATCTCTTCCTAGCAGACATGCTTTAAAAACCTTGAGAGGAAGCTCGAAAGGGAAAGCTCAAAGAGGACAATATCTGCTAGTAGTGAGCTTGGGCTGTTGCAAATAGTATCAGAGTCAGACACGGGACGATGTGCCAGCGAGGAGGCTGAGCCTTGAAAGGGGGTGGACACAAGGCAGTGTCAGCAAGGACGTTAGACCTCGAATGAGGTGGATTTTGGAGGTCCCAAATCGATTAGAGAAGGGAACAAGTGCCAGCGAGGATGCTGGCCCCAAGGGGGTGGATTGTGAGATCCCACATTGGTTGGGGAGGAGAACGAAACATTCTTTATAAAGGTGTGGAAATCTCTCCCTAGCAAACGCGTTTTAAAAACCTTGAGAGGAAATCCGAAAGAGAAAATCCAAAGAGGATGTGGATTGTGAGATCCCACATTGGTTGGGGAGGAGAACGAAACATTTTTTATAAAGGTGTGGAAATCTCTCCCTAGCAAACGCGTTTTAAAAACCTTGAGAGGAAATCCGAAAGAGAAAATCCAAAGAGGATAATATCTGCCAGCGGTGGGCTTGGGCTTGGGCTGTTACATGGTCTCACTTTGATCGAGCTACCATACACTCAGGTCAGGTCGATTTACGAGCATGGACTCACTCTGGTTTTCTATCACCTAGTTGTAGACCAAGTGGGTTCCTGTCTCACTCAATGTTCTACCAAATACCTGGAATTCCTTAGACTTCACACTACCATACGCACTTAGCTAGTAGTATGGTCTACTTGAACCATGCGTCGAAGGTCCCATGTGATGTTTTCTATAATTAAAAATGTCTCACCCACAATAAGTACTATATGCTGCAGGTCTATACCAATAATTAAATTACAAAGACAACATTTTTCTTTTAAATTTCGGGATTTCGCATCACGTGCATTTTAACAAGGCTCACTTTGAAGGCACTGAGTGAAGTTTCCACTTCTCATTCATCCCTTTTCATGTGCCAAATGCCGTGTTAAATGAGCGATTTAAATTCACTAAGATTGTCATTAAGGCGGGCGATTTGGTGATATTTCTGATTGGCTGTCCTCTTATAATTTTAAAATGTTATCCGTAAATATGTTATATGATTCATTTTTAGACGTTTTTTTTCTTTTCATTCACTACTTCACTATAGAGTTGGTACTTCTATTAAGTTATGTTTCACCTTCAATTTTGAGGTAAATACTTCATGATTGCATCCTCCTTACTCAACCTTGAGAAAATTGTAACAATTTTGCTTGACAGGGCGTCCACTTGCGAGTTATAGGAGTATGTGATAGTAGATCACTAGTCGTTGCATCTGATGCGCTCACAACTGAGTTAAATGACAAGATTTTAATGGAAATTTGTCATGTCAAGTCGAGCGGTGGCTCTTTATCAAATCTTAGCAATTTGGGTAATTCCTCATATCTTCTTAATCTCGTAGCGAAAGATGTGAAAAACAGAACGACGTATAGATTGCCAATGTTACTTCAAGTTATAGTACATCTAATATATATTTATAACTTCTAGTATTAATGAGTTATGATATGATAAGCAATCTCCCAAAACGCTCCTTTCTCAAAGATGGCCTTATAGAGCACATTCCCACAACATCTCGAGGCGTTTGAAACGATGACCCATGAGTAGTTATTGATATAGGCTTCGTAGAATCGAAATTAGGTTCCATTGGGCAAGTTTTCTGACATTATTTTCAGTAATCATTAATCTATGTTGTTCTAACGTGTTAAATTTTTTGGCAGGTGAGAGCAAACTATTTTCCGATACAGAAGCAACTAAAAAAGTTATTGATATTGCGACTCTTCTCGGTAAAGCGACAGGTTTGTGGTTTATGTGAACTTTGATCTGCTAAACATATTAGTTGAATACGATCTTGGTCCTCGAGCTTTCCAGCATACTCTCATACACGTATCGATTTACTTTTTCTTATTTCGACTTTGATCTTCATCTTTTATTGTAGGTCTGGCCTGTGTTGATTGCTCTGCCAGTTCTGACACTGTTAATGTGTTAAAGCAAGTGGTTGACTTGGGTTGTTGCATTGTTTTGGCCAATAAGAAGCCTTTAACCTCTACAATTGTAATACACTCTCTTATATCTTCGCAACTATAATTTTTAGTCGATTGAAATCCCTAGGTTACGTGCATGATCGACTGGTTTCATTTCCGTGTCTTGAGTTTTATCTAGAGGTCATACGTTCCAAACTGCCTACCGTCTTGCACTAGCAAAAGTCCCTCGAGTTCATGGACTACCAAATATCATACGGTTATACCGTAGTTTATTCTTTGGAATTTGGAGATTTTGAGGAGTCGGGAAATTGTGCAAGGAACCATGTGTTAGGCCACAGAGCATTTTGCAAGGGATATGTTTAGATTCACTATCGTTATCAACGTGATCTCGACGAATTAATAGAGAGATGCCTGACAAACTCTTGAAAGTTGTTTCTATGACATTGGCTGAACAGCCGAAATAGTCGAAGCTTTTACAAATTTATTGTTTTCTGGTTGCAGGAGGATTATAACAAACTGACTCCACATCCACGTCGTATTCGACATGAATCAACTGTAAGTAATATCATGGATTTACGTTGTTCAAGAATTTTTTTTTCCAGTTAAGAATTTGTTACCAAAAGAAAGATATGTCAAAGAATTGTGACATACTTTCCAGATCCCTTCTGGGAAAAGAAGAGGGACGTTAAACATTTTATCAAAATTTGCATGAGATAGCATGTTCTAGTAACCCGAGTTTCCTAACAAGTATAATATTTGTATGATTGGTAGCTCATTGGAAGATCAACCCGAGCCGAAGATACGATTCAAGAAAGTTACTCTTTTATACTTGAACCTTCAGAACAACAATATAGATAGTTGTTCTCGTTTCTTTTTGTGTACCCTTAGTCACAGGAAGCTTAACGTCTTTAACCGGATCTATTTCTTAGTTTATTCTTGCCCGTTTTAATTTTTTTATGAACGAATGAGGTTATTTTTCCTAAGAATATCATAAACATGTGAATCGTTGTATAAGAACCTGGGCATAACTCAATTAGTTAAGACAAATGTCATCGATCAAGGGTTCAGAGGTTCGTATCCCCTCAATTAGTTAAAATAACTTTGAAAAAAGTTGCACGATATCCTTAATATTTACAATCCACCAAATCTCTTAATAGTAGTTGAAATTTATTTCATGTTCCCCGATCGAGCAATGAATATATAAATGGGTAGTAATTTATGCAACTTCATAATACTGAGTTTTTCTGTGGTAGGTCGGTGCTGGTCTTCCCGTTATAGCTTCGTTAACCCGTATGCTATCTTCGGGAGATCCTGTTCATCACATCGTTGGGAGTTTGAGTGGTATCAAGTTCTTCGACGCATAATTTCTTTTAGACTAGTGCTATGTTTCTCCAAGGGTTTGTGGTATTTAGCATGAGTCGTGGTTCGTATTTTCTTATTGAGGCAACATTAATTTTTGTATCCTGTATGTTTGTTATAGGTACACTTGGGTACATAATGAGTGAAGTTGAAGAAGGAAAGCCTTTGAGCCAAGTTGTTAAGGTTGCTAAAAGCCTAGGTTACACAGAACCAGGTTTGTAGTGATGTTTCAATTAGTTATCTTTATTTTAAAAAGTAATATTTCAAGTGGTATCTTTACATTTAATTCATGGCATGAAAGAAATAAATCATCCTTGTGAGGTCTGAGACCTCTAATTATTATACGAGAACCCGTTAAAAGAGAATTGCACGAGAAATGATTAGTAGTCGAGTAGTGTAGAGCGCTTTTGTTTGTACGACAATGCAGAGAGGAGAGCCATCGGGTTTTTGAGGGGCTTTTGGGAGAGTTGTCTTCAAGAGAGATCCCAGCTCTCTTGATGTACAGCTCAAGCCCACCAAATCGACCCCCTTGGGGGCCCAACGCCCTTAATGACACACCACCTCGTGTCTACCCCCCTTCGGGGAACAATATTCTCGCTGGCACATCGACCGGTGTCTGGCTCTGATACCATTTGTAATGGCCCAAGTCCACTACTAGCAAATCTTTCCTCTTTGGGCTTTCCCTTAAGGTTTTTAAAATGCGTCTGCTAGGGAGAAGTTTCCACACCCTTATAAAGGGTGTTTCGTTCTCCCTCCCAACCGACGTGGGATATCACACTTGAATAGATGGTCTTGTTTTTCTTTTGTTCTTTGATTTTTTTCTTTTGCTAAGGTTTCAGCTATTCTTTGACTTCGTGAACACTGAAACGATATTGTGAATCAATAGAATGGTGCCAGGGTATATCTATCCCTTTTTTCCATAGGTGGAAAAATGTAACAGCCCAAGCCCACCGCTAGCAGATATTGTCCTTTTTGGGCTTTCCCTTCCGAGTTTCCCCTCAAGGTTTTAAAACGCGTCTACTAGGGAGAGGTTTCCACACCCTTATAACGAATTATTCGTTCTCCTCCCCAACCGATGTGGGGTCTCACAATCCACCCCTTTCAGGGCCTAGCGTCCTCGCTGACACTCGTTCCCTTCTCTAATCGATGTGGGGCCCCCCAATCCACCCCCTTCAAGGCTCAGCCTCCTCGCTGACACATCGCCCAATGTCTGGCTTTGATACCATTTGTAACAGCTCAAGCCCATCGCTAACAAATATTGTCATCTTTGGGTTTTCCCTTCCGGGCTTCCCCTCAAGGTTTTAAAACGCATTTGCTAGGGAGAGGTTTCCACACCTTTATAAAGAATGCTTCTTTCTCCTTCCCAATCGATGTGGGATCTCACAATCCACCCCCCTTTGGAGCCCAACGTCCTCGCTGACACTCGTTTCCTTCTCTAATCGATATGGGACCCCCCAATCCATCCCCTTCGGGGCTCAGTCCTTGCTGGCATATCGCCCGGTGTTTGACTCTGATATCATTTGTAACAGCCCAAGCCCCGCTAACAGATATTGTCCTCTTTGAGCCTTCCCTTTCAGGCTTCCCCTCAAGGTTTTAAAATGCGTTTGCTAGGGAGAGGTTTCCACACCCTCATAAAGAATGCTTCGTTCTCTTCCCCAATTATGATGCTTTATATGGGAATGTGTGTTTTGTATCTTGATGTTTTGTACGTTGGGGGAACTTTCTTGTTTTAAGAAAATGACATTGTTTTGAAGAGCATGTGGAGGATTAGGTTTTTTCTTATATGTGCACACGTGCAAACATGTATTACAGTGTTATGCATTATATATCTATTTATCACTGATAAGAAAATTCAATGTACTTAATGAGTTTTATATAATGTCTTGCAGATCCACGTGATGACCTCAGTGGCATGGATGTTGCAAGAAAGGTTTGGTTTTAATGCATGACTTGTGATATTAAGGGTCTGTGCTTAGTGCATGAGTTCTGTAGCCAAATCTTTTGATCTTGTAGTTCAACAATCTCACACCACACTTCTCTGGAATTATGCGTTGGTTCACGAGGTAATCCGTTAGAAGAGACGTGAATTGAAATATGATCGGCAGAAAAGAAAAGCCCTATGGTTTGTCTCACTTGCTCGAGAAGGGGGGGNGGGGGGGGGGGGGGTGCGAGGGAAAGTACACGAGTGAGGGAGAATTAGTTGTGTCGCATGTTAATATTTTGTTGTAGGGAATGTGTGAGATCCCACATCGATTGGGGAGGAGAACGAAACACCCTTTATTAAGGGTGTGGAAACCTCTCCCTAGCAGACGTGTTTTAAAGACCTTGAGGGGAAGCCCAAAAGAGAAAGTTCAAAGAGAACAATATCTGCTAGCAGTGGGCTTGAGCTGTTATAAATGACATTAGAGTTAGACACTGGGTGATGTGCCAGTGAGGAGGCTAAGCCCTGAAGGGGGTGGACACGAGACGGTGTGCCAGCAAGGACGTTGGGCCTCGAAGGGGGGTGGATTGGGGGGTCCCACATCGATTGGAGAAGGGAACAAGTGCCAGCGAGGACGCTGGGCCTTGAAGGGGGTGGATTGTGAGATCCCACATAGGTTGAGGAGGAGAAAGAAACACCCTTTATAAGGGTGTGGAAACCTCTTCATAGCATACACGTTTTAAAAACCTTGAGGAAAAGCTCGAAAGGTAAAGCCCAAAAAGGACAATATCTGCTAGCCGTGGGCTTGAGTAGTTACAAATGGTATTAGAGCCAGACAATGGGCGATGTGCTAGTGAGGAGGCTAAGCCCCAAAGGGGGTAGACATGAGGCGGTATGTTAGCAAGGATGTTGGGCACCGAAGGGGGGTGGATTGGGGGGTTCCACATCGATTGAAGAAGGGAACAAGTGCCAGTGAGGACGCTGGACCCCGAAGGGGGGTGGATTGTGAGATCCAACATCGGTTGGGGAAGAGAACGAAACATTCTTTATAAATGTGTGGAAACTTCTCCCTAGCAGACATGTTTAAAAACCTTGAAGGGAAGCCCAAAAGGGAAAGCCCAAAGAGGACAATATCTGCTAGCGGTGGGCTTGAGCTGTTACAACTTCATCCTTATTCTCCCAATATTTTGGATTGAACGTGGCTCTTCCTTATTATCACTATTTTTGCCCTATGATTAACAATGGTAGAGATGTGGTGCTCAGTTGGGTGTCATTTACTCAAATTTTCGACCTTTCGGCAAATTATCTCGAAGTATGATCCTATAAATTTTATCTGCTAACAGTTCACGACGTGAAATAAACTCCGCATAGATTCTAGAACTGGACTAGAGCATTTCATGTCGTTGCTATACTTATTGATGTCTATTCGTAAACAGGCTCTGATCCTCGCTCGACTTCTCGGTCAGCAGATCAACTTGGGCGATATTAAGGTCAGTTTTAGAAGTTCTATTCCTTCCTTAAGAGAACAATACATGGCATGCATTTATATATGTACGAAAATGCATACGATATTAAGCTTCATAGACAAAAAATGCACTAGATATCGAAGTTTCGTGTAGAAATAAATCTATGTACATGATTGTGCACGTATACCCATCCCCTCGTGCTAAATGTCCTGCTCTAATAGTAGTTCTCCTTAGGTCGAAAGCTTGTTTCCGAAAGAAATGGGACCTGACGTTATGCCTATCGACGACTTTTTAAACAAAGGAGTTTTATCGCTAGACAACGACATCAAGGAGAGAGTTACCAAGGCTTCCTCAAAAGGAAACGTGTTACGTTATGCCTGTACGGTCGAATTCTCGAGCTCGAGGTATTATTAGACGTTTGGTCTTGTCTTCTATGTTTCATTTGCCTTGAATACACAACAAATGTTATTTAACTATGATTGTTTAGAAACAAAAAACAATCAATAATGAAGCACAGCTTTTGGATAATGTTTCTTAGGTGTGAAGTTGGACTACAAGAGTTTCCCAAAGATTCCCCATTGGGAAGATTGAAAGGAAGTGACAATGTGGTAAGCCCTCCGTCCCCATTTCACGATAACGACCACGTTGCAGCCCTACGATTTCCATTAAAACACGGGCCTATACGTCGTAAAATACTATAAATATCGAAGTTTTTGAATGTCGAATACGAACCTGTCTTAGATAAAATGTGTGTGGAAATTGACTCGGTCGTTCCGTGCGATTGCAGCTGGTGGTTTACAGCCGATGCTATAACGAACGACCTCTTGTGATTCAAGGAGCTGGAGCGGGTAATGACACAACAGCAGCTGGTGTGTTAGCTGATATTCTTGACCTTCAGGATTTGTTTTGAAGGGATTTCTTTGAAGAACTTGGAAGAACTTAGAACTAATTTTGGTTAATCATATTGCTGGTGGGAACTCTTAAAACGGCTGTTTTTGCAGCTTTTTGGGTCTGAGATTTGATGAGTTTAAACTGCTTCTTTTACATAGGAAAGAGTATTGGAAATTTTTTTTTAAGTTAGATTGATTAAAAAATGCTATAAAAGTGGCTCTTTCAATTGAGTTTGAACATTAGGAGGGGCTTAAATATACTATGGAAGCTCTTTCGAGTGAATTTGAACTTGTAATTTTTAAGAAGGGTTACTGAGATGTCTCACGTTGGTTGGGGGAGAACAAACCACTATTTATAAGAGTGTGGAAACCTTCCTCTAGCAGACGCGTTTTAAAACCTTGAGGGGAAGCTCGAAAGGAAAACCCCAAAGAGGACATTAATTGCTAGCGGTGAATCTGGGGCGTTACAGCTACTTACTCATGTTTTAAAAAACGCTATTGTGAGATTGCACATCGGTTGTAGAGAGAAACGAAACATTATTTGGAAGAGTGTGGAAACCTTTCTTAATAGATGCGTTTTAAACTGTGAGGCTGACGAGAATACGGGTAGAAATGGACAATATCTGCTAGCAATAGACTTGAGTTGTTACAAATGGTATCAAAGATAGGCATCGTTAGAGAGGGGAATGAATGTCAGTGAGGATGCTGGGCCTCTAAGAGAGTGAATTGTGATGTCAGTGAGGAATGCTGGGCCTCTAAGAGAGTGAATTGTGATGTCAGTGAGGATGTTGAGCCTCGAAGGGGGTGAACAAAGGAGATGAATTGTGAGATCCCACATTAGAGATGGGAACGAATGCCAGCGAAGATGTTGAGCCTCGAAGGAAGAACGAATGTCAGGGAGGATGCTAAACCTCGAAGAGGGGTGTGGATTGTGTGGATTGTGAGATCTCATATCGACTGGAGAGAGGAACGAAGCTAGGTGGATTGTGAGATTAGCATTCTTTACAAGTGTGAGAAATTCACTCCCTGATAGACACGTTTTAAAACTTTAAGACTACAACGATACATAATTAATTCATAAAAATATTTGGTTAAAGAATATCATAGATAATCACTAAACTCTTCAAACATATTCATCAATCCAAATATTCAAAATCTCCTATACGTAATATTAAATTTGAATGATCTATATATTATACTAAATTGTAAAGGAAGAAAACAAAAAGAACTAGCCTGACAAGTCAAAAAGCTAAGCTAAGCTTTATTCCACATGAAATGTTTCATATCTATCTAGACAATGAGTTAAAAACTCTTACCAATTCAGTGTTTGATTCAAAGAAGCCTTCTCAACTTGATAGAACAAACACAAATTCAATCCTCATTCCAAACAGCAAGAACTTAATTAAAACTCTGCCAATTCAGTTTGATCGAAGTAGCAACCAGTGGGACTTCCATCTGGAAAAAGAGCCAATTTGAGAGGACCTCTAGCCCCTTCTTCCACAGTTAATACTCCTGTATGCCAGTTGATATCAGTATCAACATAGCCTGGATGAACACAATTGATATACATTTCTGGATGCTGTCTTGCAAGAATTCTTGTATAAGCATTCACTGCAGCCTTGGAGATGCTGTACGGTGGAAGCATCAGTGACCATCCATTCGCTTCTAATCTATCTTCCTTCAAATCATGTAGAAACTTTTTCAACACTTCATCTACCTTTTCTTCATTCAAATTTTCTATATCTCCCAGTTCTTTTCGTATGTGCTCACCTGGGATTCTCTGCCATTGTGAATTTCGCAAGGTGTATCAATTGTTACCTAAAACTCGAATGAGTTCGACAATTTCTACATTTGAATAGATTTTTGTTAAGAAAAAAGTATTATGGTAATAGCTCAAGCCGACCATTAGCATATATTGTCCTCTTTGGGCTTTTCCACGAGGTTTTAAAACGCGTCTGCTAGGGAGAGGTCTTATAAAGAATGTTTTGTTCCCTCTCCAATCGATGTGGAATCTCACAATCCACCCTCCTTTGGGGCCCAGCGTCCTCGCTGGCACACTGCCAGTGTCCACCCCCTTTCGAGGCTCAGCGTCCTCGCTGACACACTGCCAGTGTCTACCCCCTTTCGAGGCTCAGCGTCCTCGCTGACACACTGCCAGTGTCTACCCCCTTTCGAGGCTCAGCGTCCTGCTGACACACTGTCTGGTGGCTAGTTTTGATACTATTTGTAACAGCTCAAGCCCACCGCTAGCAGATATAAAACGCGTCTATTAGGGAGAGGTTTCCACGCCCTTATAAGGAATGTTTCATTCCCTTCTCCAATCGACGTGGGATCTCACGATTATCATTAAATGACTTGTATGAAATTGATAGGATTTCAAAGAAAAACACACATTAGAGCTATTTTCTTTGAAATTTACGACTCTTTGTAGAGTTATTCAATATTTGATTCATGGAAAGTAATGAATATTTTAAGATTTTTAGCTTGCTTTTTATCAAATTTGATTTTCTCCCCTCTAAATAGAATCATTAAAGACTTATAGCAGAAGAAGTTTATAAAGAACGGCGTGGTACCTTCAATTCGCTTCTAAGAGAGGAGACATTCACTATCCTGGCTCCTCCCAAGGATTTCTGTAGAAGTGGAAGAAGGGCTTCTGTTACTCTTTTGAGGCCATAGTAATTTGTGTTGAGGCATTCTTCTGCCTTCTCACAGTTTGTCTTTATCACACTCTGAACCAAGTTCGTCGCCTTGCCCGAGAGCTGTATTTAAGCGTTGATCAGAACAACCTAAGGAACATTTAAATCACGGACCTCGTGCCTTAACCAGTTGAGCTAAGCTAAAGTTAGCAATTACAAAAATGCAGTCTTTAGAATTATGGTTAAATATAAGAATAGAAATAAAATTGTGTTCGAAAACAATCTTCAAGACAAGTTGAATGTTCTAACGGTTCAAGCCCACCACTAGCAGATATTGTCTGCTTTGATCCGTTACGTATCGCCGTCAGCCTCATGTTTTAAAACGTGTCTACTAGGGACAGGTTTCCACACCCTTGTAAGGAATGCTTCGTTCCCCTCTCCAACCAATGTGGGATCTCACAATCCACCCCCTATAGAGCCTAGTGTCCTTGCTGGCACACCAGACACCGTCCGATGTCTGACTCTGATACCATTTGTAACAGTCAAAGCCCACCACTAGCAGATATTGTCCGCTTTGTCCCGTTACGTATCGTCGTCAATCTCACGGTTTCTACTAGGGAGAGGTTTCCACACCCTTATAAGGAATGCTTCGTTCCCTTCTTCAACCAATGTGGAATCTCACAATCCACCCCCTTGGAGCACAACATCCTCGCTGGCACACTGCCTGGTGTTTGACTCTGATATCACTTGTAACAGTCCAAGCCCACTGCTAGCAAATATTGTCCGCTTTGGCCCGTTACATGTCACTGTCAGCCTCACGGTTTTAAAACAAATCTACTAGGGAGAGGTTTTCACACCTTTATAAGAAATGTTTCGTTCCCCTCTCCAACTAACGTGGGATCTCACAAATATATCTCAATGAATGAATTAACAGAAAGAGAATAAATAATACCCAGGAGGAGGGATCTATGTTCATGGCCCTTAATCCTTCCTCATCAACCACAACTCCAGAAGCCCCAGCATTATTCACCTGTAACAGTAAACAAATCACTTCATTATAGTTTTATAGTTTTGCTTTTTAATCAATTAATCACATTGATTGAAAATAAATTGAATTAAGAACTACTCCAGTACTTGAAATAGCAATCTAAATGACTAAAATGAAATTGAATAATTTGAAAGCTTACCAAGATATCAAGCCTGCCAAACTTGTCAGCTATGAACTCAGCCAAAGAGTGGATACTGACAGGGTCCAACACATCAAGTTGATGGAAAACTACATTTGATAACCCTATTTCATGGAGCTTTGAAACAGCCTCCAATCCTCTTTGCTCATTTCTGGCTGTCAAAACCACGTTTATGCCTCGAGAAGCAAGTTGCTTTGCTGTTTCAAAACCAATCCCCTTGTTTGCTCCAGTGACTACCCCGAACCTGTGAGGAATGGCTTTCAAACCTCTTATTTACAATAACAATAACAATAACAATAATAAATAAAATAAAAAATAGTATTTATAGGCATAATTTTGAGAAAAGAGAAGTGAGCAGCTAACAAATATTGTCCGTTTTGGCCCGTTACTATTCCTCTCAGCCTCACGATTTTAAAACGCGTATGTTAGGTAGAGGTTTCCACACATTTACCTTGTGGGGCCAACGTCCTCATTGGTACACCATCCAGTATATGACTCTGATACCATTTATAACAGCCCAAGTCCAAGCCCACCACTAACTGATATTATCCGCTTTGGTTCGTTATGTATCGCCATCAGACTCACGATTTTAAAACGCGTATGTTAGGAAGAAGTTTCCACACCTTTAACCCGTGGGGGCCAGCGTCCTCATTGGTACACCATCCAGTGTATGACTCTGATACTATTTATAACAGCCCAAATCCAAGCCCACCGATAACCGATGTTGTCCGTTTTGGCTCATTATGTATCGCAGTCATACTCGCGATTTTAAAACGCGTCTGTTAGGGAGAGATTTTCACACCCTTATCAGGAATGTTTTGTTCCCCTCTCCAACTGATGTGAGATTGGGGCCAATGTTCTCGCTAACTTCGAACAAACAAAGAATTGTTTCGTCGAAAAAAAAAACACACACACCTAACATAGCAAAGAAGTTTGCATTGAATTGAAGCAACAGCATACCTCTCAGCTCCGTGATTTCCATTACTTTCCATTCTTGCTACAACTGGAAGTCCTGAACTGCCTAACCTTTTATTTGCAGTAGTTTGTATATTAAACCTGCCAAGTTCAAAAGTTCAAAATCCATTTTTACAAACCTCATTTTGCAATGTATGACACAGAAAATACATTAATCATGTTTTGATCCCTCCTTTGGAGATTACTGGAATAGAGATGAATTCTTTTGGTGGTGTTCAAATCACAAATAGTTTCATTGTAAGTATAGGCCATCCATGGTTATTCTCAACTACAAGGCTTTTTTTAGTTCCTCCATAGGAGAAAATAATAATAGGAACACGATGGAAATATATGTAGAGGCTATCATAGAAAATACCCCTCCATTTGGTACTTTGTTTACAAAACTTTCGAAAGATACATTAATACATTTAAACTTTCAAAATATTCTTATCATTAAGAATGTTAGTGACTTGTTTAAAAAATATTGCTGACCTTTTAGAAGTTGTACAATCTTTAATCTTCTAACAAAAAAAATAAGAAATATTTTTACCATTAGGAAACCATTTATCTATACTTCATTTTAATATAGAGCTTCATTTTAATGAAACTTTTAGAAGTTCAAGCGTATCTAAAAAAAATACAAAGTTCACGAGTATATACTTTGGATGAAATTTTTGCTATTTATAGTTCAATTAATTTTATTATTATGAACAGAGTTTTTATCCACGATTCCTCATCTATGTGGATGAACATCAATATTCATTGGAATATTTATTTTCACACCCATCACATCACCACAAGATCGAAATGTTAAGGTCAATATGAATTTAATTCGAATATACAGTTCGAGATTCAAGTCTCACATTAATAATCATACTCAGATTTGTTGTATTAGAACAGCGAAAATGTCTTAAAAAGCCCCAAACAAGAAAGGATGTCAAATCAAAAAGCAGGTAGGTCAGTATTTTTCATAAAAAATTCTCACAGTAATATCATCAAACACCTGGTGCGCATGACACATCAAAATCACATAATCATCCCCATAAAGCCACAGAAAGTTATAGATTGAAAGATGAAATTAATGAAAAGAAAAAGGGTTACCTCTGAGGCGAGAATGGATCGGCGAAAAAGTGGAAGCGATTGAGCCTTTGTGGTAGGATGGAGAGTGAAGAAAAGAGTGGCACAAGCAGCGACTAGTATGGCTGCGCTGGGCCAGCCCCACTTGACCCATCACATCCATTTCTGCGCTTCTCCATATTGGCCATCGCCCAATAGTTTAATCGAATCCCATTTTTTCATTATAATAAATAAGCTCGACACGAGAATATCTATTATTGTCTAAGTTAGAATCTTGGGACACGAGCAGTTGGTTGGTAGAGAAGGGGACTGAAAATCTTCGTGTCACCGGTTCAAATCTCCTATTGACAATAAGGATAATGTGTAGAAAATGAAATGGTCGGGGCATCTCTTAGTTGGTAGAGCAAGGGACTCAAAATCTTCGTCTCACCGGTTTGCTATGAAAATAGATACGTCTAATGTGCCGGAAAGGAAATGGCCTCTTCGTCTCACCGGTTTGCTATGAAAATAGATACGTCTAATGTGCCGGAAAGGAAATGGCCGGTATAGCTCAGTTAGTACAGCAGAGGATTGAAAATCCTCTTATTACCGATTCAAATCTGCTATTGACAACCATAATTTTTATAGCTATTTTTATCGTTCTAAAGTAGGTGATTTTAGATCAGCTCTTGGACTTTCGGGTCGTTTTATTCTCTTTCCAACAATAGACTTTTCCACCATTTTTGCTCGTGCGACAAGAGAAGGAAAGCTACCATAGTCTACAATCCAAACTAACAACAGATTTTTCGAATCAACTCGCCTCGCAAGATCATGACCCTTGATCCTGGCCACTGTAGGACGTGTTAAATTTTGACTAGTTTTCTATACGGGATAAAGAGATGATGATGCTCACTTCGACGTTTTTTTTACAACAACGTGCAAACATGCAAACATAAATAAATAAATAAATATTACGACAGACACTCACATCATAACATAAAATTATATTGCATGAAGGGTTGCGGGTTTCGAGATATTCATGTTTCATTCAATTCATCCAATATAATTTGTAGGCATTTTAACAATACGTTCACTTATCGTATTGGCTTAAGTCAACGTCACTTTATTTGCTTAGTTGCTGGTAGTCTAATCGTGCTCGTTGTGGTCAAATTTCACCTACGATGTTCCACCACATCAAAATATAATCAAGATACCAACTTCACCTAAGTCTCCTATTCGAACCTCAAATGTCTCCAATTACCTTAAAAACAAAAACGACTCTAAAACGATTCAGAGTTGTAAAATGAGGTTAAAAGTTCAAAATAACTCGTCTAAGTTGAGAGGAGGTGCTTACCTCTTTTTCTTTTCTACGATTTTCCTCTTTCTTATCTTTTTTTATCATTTTTTATGACGGGTCGATATTTGAGATATCAACTTTCTAAAATGTGAAAAGAAATAACCATTTGAACGTTAAATCTTTTTTTTGTTAAATTATCAGCACTACTTAACCCGACCCAAATCATAAAAGTTAGATTGAGTTATATATATATATATATATATATATATATATATATATATATATATGATTGAGTTCAATTTTTTTAAAACGGAAAAAGTCCGGTTGGTCGTGGGTTGACTTTTTTTTGTTGGACCAACCTAAGAATGGAATTACATCTAAACTCTACCTTACTTTTAAAATCATTATGAAAATGAAGAACAGTTAACGTTTGAATAAGTTGTGACTTGTAAATGTTCGAATATTTGAGATTTATGGTATTTTAGTCATTAATGTGACATGTATCGTGGATAAGTAGCATTTTTTCAAATAACGAAAAAAAATCCGACAACCCAATTCAAAAAATAGAAGGTTGGATTATGAGCTCTATTCAAGTTGCTCCCGTCACAAACCCAACAAACTTGAAATTTAAGATTGGTATAAAATATATATATATATTCAACTCGACCGGTTTATATCCTAAATTTGAAAGACTAAACTTAAGCTTTATTAAAAAGTGTATGTTACGGCCCAAACCCACCGCTAGCAGATATTGTCCTCTTTGCGCTTGCTTTTTCTTACCGGCTTCCACTCAAAGCTTCAAAACACGTGAAAAGGTTTCTATACAGTGTTTCGTTCTCCTCTCTAACCAATATGTGACATCACCTGTAATGATGCAAAAGTTAAAATAAAATAAAAATAAAATCTAAAATATTATTTGATTTTTTTTTTTTTTTTTTTTTGAAGTCCGTTGAAAACAAATATTTATTTCTCATAAATATTGAGATTTAATAGGAGAAAATTAGGAAATTAGGTTGGTGGTGAGGTAATAATAAAATAATAATAATAATAATAATAATAAATAAATAACTAAATACCTTGTACTTGTATTCCCCTTTTCATCTTCCATAATAATTATAAATGTGAAAATATTTATTTATTTATTTATTATTGTTTTATTTGATTCTAACGCCCAACAATGAAAATAAATTGTCTCACAATAAGACTAAAAAAAGCAATATTTTCACGTGGGCTCTCATTATTTCACATATTTGAAAACACTTTATGCCTTTTTGGCACAAGGAGAATTTGAATCCCAACAACTATTTTATTTTTAAATTATTATTCACTCCTTTTTTATCAAATATTTGTTTCTTTTAAATGACTTTAATGATAAGAAATTAACGTGGGAAAAAATGATCTAAAAATAACACGTTCACTTAAAACGAGTCTACCGAGAAAGTTTCCACACCCTTGTAATTGGTGTTTTGTTCTCTTCCCGACTAATGAGACAACACAATCCAATGGTGATAAGACATTACAATCCACCCCCTTCATAGCCCACTACTTGGGGAAGGTTTTCACACCCTTATATTAGACATCACAATCCACCCCTTTCAGAGTCCAGCGTCCCCAACTAATGTGAGACATCACAATCCACCCCCTTCAAAGCCTAGCGTCCTCGGCACTCGTTCTGTGGGACCCCCACCAAATCCACCTCATTTAGAGTCCAGCATCTTTATAGGCACACCATCTCATGTTTACCTCCCTTTTTAGGGAATAGCGAGAAGGCTAACATATTGTCCGGTGTCTCGCTCTGATATCATTTGTAACAGCCCAAATCCACCGCTAGCATATATTGTCATCTTTAGGCTTTCACTTTCGAGATTCCCAAGGTTTTAAAACGCACCTACCAGAAGAAGGTTTCCACGCTATTATAAAGGGTGTTTTAAGACTTTACATTTATTTTAATAATAATTGTTTGCGTATCTTATTTGGCGAAAAAAAATAGGTGTGATCATTATTAGGAGGTGGATAAATAACTAAAGAAATAAATAGAGCCTTGGGAGTTGGGATGGGGCCCACTCTCACTCAGAAAATTAAAAAAAAAAACAAAAAAGAAATAAATAAGCAATCAAAGTCCTGCAATGGCGGTAGCTGCTGCCATTAATTCACACTCGCCTTCCTCTTCCCAAACCACTTCCCTTCTTCTCTCTCTCTCTCTCTCTATATCTCTCTCCTCCTCCTCCTCTTCTCTTCAATTCCACCGCCAACCAACTCAAACCCTAGAAAACGAAACAACCGTCTCGATCTACACCAATGGCGACGCCCTCGATCTTCGCGCTAGCGGCGGTGATAATCGCGATTCACGGCATTGCAGGGGCGGTGGCGCAGGCTCCGGCGCCGGGGCCAGCGGTTGCGACGGACTGCTTCACGACGCTGCTGAATATGTCGGATTGCCTGTCGTACGTGTCGGCGGGGAGCAAGGACGTGAAGCCGGACAAGCATTGCTGCCCGGAGCTGGCGGGGCTGGTGGAGAGTAGCCCTAGCTGCCTCTGTCAGCTGCTTAGCGATCCTAATAAAGTTGGGTTAACCATTGATGTCGACAGAGCTATGAAGCTTCCTTCCGCCTGCAATGTCTCCACTCCTCCCGTCAATCTCTGTTCTCGTAAGCTTTCTTTTCCCTTTCCTTAAATAAAAAAAAAATTAAAAAAATTAAAAAAAAATAATTAAAATGTTTAATCTTTTTAAAATACCCAATTTAATCTTTTTTTTTTTCTTCTTTTTAATGGAAATTTTCAATTATGATTCAAATTTATATTCCATGATTTTTCAATTTTTCAATCTGCCCCTAAGTTTTTGGAGTGGAGATTTGTAGCTATTAAGTCCCTCAAACTTTAAAAATTACAACTTAATTGTAACGACCCAGATCCACCACGGTTAGATATTATCCTCTTTGGACCTTCTCGGCTTTAAAATGCATCTGCTAAGGGAAGGTTTTCACACTCTTATAACGGGTGGTTTGTTCTCCTCCCAATCAATGTGGGACACATCTGCTAAGAGAAGGTTTTTATACTCTTATAAAGGGTGGTTTGTACTCCTCCCAATCAATGTGGACTTTCCCTTTTGGGCTTCACCTCGAGACTTTAAAACGCATTTGTGATCCCTTTTGGGCTTCACCTCGAGACTTTAAAACGCATTTGTGAGGAGAAAGTTTACACACCCTTATAAAGTTTAAGGACTAAATTGTTATTTTACGAAAATCGAAGCATTTTTTAATACTAAGTTCAAGTTTAATTGAAAGTTTAAAAACATTGTTATTTTATGAAAATCGAAGCATTTTTTAATATTAAGATCATGGAAATTGGAAGTTCAAAAACATTCTTAAAACAATCAAACAAACATAAACTAATTTATTACCAAATGACTTTTATGTTTCAAATTTGCAACAAACATGAACTAAGAACATGCTAGTTTCCCTCCATGAACAAAATTCAAATAAATTTTGAGGCTTAGATCAGTCTTAAAAGCATCATAAGAGGGAGGTTTGTAGCTCAAACCTGCTTGTTTTGAATGCAGTTTTGGGATTTCCGGTGGGATCAAATAGTCCCGGATCAGCCCCAGCACCAGCACCAGGACCAGGTACTAAATCTTCCATACTCTACATTCTAAGTTCATGGTTTGAGTTTATTCTGAACGAAAATTTCGAATGTTAAAACGCACCTAGGTGTTCAACCACTGGACGATGGAGGCTCCGCCACCCCCGGTACCCCGGGAAGCAGCGGGAATAGGGCTTCGAGCATCAACCGCCTTCATCTCGCATTTCTGCTTGGCATAGCCTTGGGATTTCTTTCGACGCTTCTCTAACCGAGATATCTTTGATTGTCTGTTATTGTTTGCCAATTCTTCTGTCTTTCCTTTTCAGTTCATATGTAGTATTGTACTGAGATATTTTCATGATTGTTAGGCAATAAAAGTTTCTATTGAAATATTTTGTTGAAACTACCTGTTCTTGTAGCTTGTAAAAAGTGAATGTTTCTGTGATGGTAAAGATTGGAAAAACAAGTTTTAGAGGGTAGCAAGAAGACATTACCAGGTAAGTTGAGACGATAGCAACGCCATCGACATTTTGTATGCATATTATCCACTGCTCATGGAACAAATATTGGGGAAATGGATCAACAATCCTCAAAGTTCTCATCTCTAGACAAAATGCTGCATGATAAAATATAGATATAGCAATGAACATTATTTGAGATAAAAGAACATGATTTGCTGAAAAACACCTTGTTTCTTGTGAGGATGATATATCGGTAGGAGAGGGAACAAAACATTTTTTATAAAGGTGTGGAAACTTCTCCCGAACAAACCGTTTTAAAATCATGAACCTGACAACGATACGTAATGGGTAAAAGCGGACAATATCTGTTAGTGGTGGGCTTGTATTGTTACAGTTGGTATCAGAGCTAGACAAGGACATTGGGTCCTGAAGGTGGTAGATTGTAAGATCCTACATCGGTTGGAAAGGGAAATGAAACATTATTTATAAGGGAGTAAAAACCTCTTCAAATCGTGAAGCTAACGGCGATACGTAACAGGCCAAAGTAGACATCTGCTAATGGTGGGCTTAGGGTATGGCTTAGGTTTATGAGACATTGCATTTTATAATAATAAAGTATGCAAATGGCAATAGGATAAACGAGAATGCCACATCCAAGAAAGAAAAAGAGACATCCCAAGTGAGCAAAGCATATTCAACGATTCCTTACCTTCAAACTTCTATAGTACAACCAAAAAATCTGTAGTCCAAATGGTTCAGACTCAGACTTCTCACTTGAAACCAAGAAATGGCAGGGAAACTCAACGGACTACATGTCAAAGTGTTCAATAAATTGATGCAGATAATGAAGATGCAATGGAAATGTATAAGGAGGCGTATTAAACTTGAATAAGACGCATCTGTGTGAATGAAGCTTTGTTCAGAGCATAATTGCCAGCAGATCACAAAGAACGCAGTTCAGACTTCCAAATCAGGTTGTTCAACTTCTCCAATAATGCTTACCTATGTTAAAAACTGAATTACTCGCCAGTTGCTAGAGAAGTTGCCAGGGCGGTTCAATCCCCTCACTTCTCATGCTTTGATCCTTCGATTAAAAAATCTGTAAGAAGATGCAGCAAACAACCCATTCTCCAAGTATTCTATATTCAAGAAGGGTTTCCATATTAGAAATTAATGACCAACTACTCCAATACATTCAATGTGAGATCCCACATCGGTTGGGGAGGGAAACGAAGCATAGATAAGAGTGTGGAAACTCTCCCTAGCATACGCATTTTAAAAACCTTGAGGGAAAGCCCGAAAGAGAAAGCCCAAAGAGAACAATATCAGCATTCTCCTTTTTGTTTTCAGATACACAATGTATCACAAATTTCGGACCAACAATGATTTCACCGATTGTAGAGTCATTATTGAGCTTTGAAACACTTATTGAAAGACTATAAATATTGTCCTTTGTTCATTTGTTATCTAGAGGAAAGTCACCATCCTCAATGTGAATTTGATCTACCTTCTGTCTTAAGCTGCTAGGAGGTAAACCACGACGCCCCATATCAACAAAATCTAGGAGTTTTCTCCTTACAGTATAAACTGGATTTGGATCTATTAAACACCCCCTCTCATAAGCTTCTCTTAGAAAAACGGTATGTCTCTTTCCCTTGGTTGATAAATAAAATATCCCAGGATGATCCAAGAACAGATCTCTTATATTTAATTCAATGCCAAACCATTTCCTAAAATGGCTGATCTTCTCTACTTCCACCATCTTTTCCACGGTCAAAGTCATGAATTCGTGAATAATTGAAACTGTTCGTTTTTCTAGTGCTATAGCAGTGTTCCCATGCTTGTTACCGTCAAGTGTTCCCTCGTATGGCCCGGTATATGGACACCTTTGCCATTCCTTAACCTTGGCCTTGAAAGTTTTTCTCAACCGCATCCCCGGAGGATAGCTATGTTTAAAACTATACTTGATTTCTGTCTCGTCAACGGTACATCCGTCTTTACAACACTGAGTAACTCTCCATTCATCGACAGCTGCTCGGAAATGATTTCTCGGAATGTCATCAACCAGCTTCAAAAAATGAGTATTTGGTTCATGCGCATCACAAAGCTGAAAAATATGAGAGTTTTTCGATATCACACAGTCCTCAAAATTGTCAGGGAGGCCAAGCTCCCTCCATACCTTGTAAATGGCACGCAGTGGTAACATCTTAGAATTCGACATTGATAAAAGCCGGACTAATCTATCAACAACCAGAGGCAATGAAGCATTGATAGCATCTGCTTCTTCACAAACTATATGGATGGCAGTATCTGTTAATTTGCAAAATGGTTGAGTCTTGTTTGGATCATAGAATATGTGGAAAATATGAGGGTATTTGCGAAGGAAGGAGGCAGCGCCACGGTTGAGATGGAGCTTCTGGGAAAGCCTCGAGAGGAATTCTAGAGATACCGATTGATTCCTCGGATTAGCAAGGATAAGATCTTGGACAGCAACCACTTTTAGAAGATTTTTGTACCTATCCATCAGTTTCTCAAACGTTGGATCTCTAGCTCTTGATGCAACATATTGGGAAGATGTTGTTTTACATCTAACAACCATATTGAGATACTGGTACCTTTTTGGAATGGATCTAAATATATGAGGTCCCATTTTAATGCACAAATTACTCTAACAGCCCCTTGTCTCACAATACACTACCGATTTCTTCGCATACAAATGCAGGCATCACCTCTTTCATGAACAACCAAATATAAAAGCCTCAAAAAATATCTGATACTTCAAATTAAATCAAAGCATTGGCACAAGAGAAGATCATACTACCAGAGCACTAATTTTCTAAGTGAACTAACGCAAAATTTCAGCCCAACACAGATTTCAGATCAAGGCAATGGCTAGTATACACTATTTAAAATCCCTCAACAAATCCACGAACTTCAAGAGAAATCCAGAGTTAGAAAATGATTTACACATTCAGTTTTCAGTACGACTTCCACTTACCCCGGCATACCTGCGTCCAATGGAGCTTGTGAAAGCCTTCGACGACATTAAGAAGATAATCGAGGCCTCTTGTATCAATGAAAACTCCTCACGCTGTGAAACAAACAGATGTTGTTTGAATCAATCGACATGAATAAATCAAAATGTGAGTGAAAAATCAAGAAAGATTGAATTGGGAATTTCTTCATTGACAATGAACAGAGAGCAGAAGGAACAAGGAAAGCAAGCAAACAACCTGAAAATCATACATTGAAATGGAAACCCTAATTTGAGAGTTCTCTTTTTTTCCCCCCTTAATCGCCGACGAACTCTAATTCACTTTCTAATTTAATTTTTAATTTTTAATTACTTATAATTTATTTGTTTCATTTTCCACTTTATAATTCACATTCCAATTTTATTTTTTATTTTTAAATTAAATATTCTTCCATTTTGCACTTTATTTAAAAAACAACTATAATTTTTTTTAATATTTCAATAATATACCCTTAATTTAAGGAAAATATATATATATATATAAAGTACATTTAAACTTTAAATATATTTTTTTTAAATACCCTTTTAACATTAAAAAAATACTTTTAAATTTTTTTTAAAACTAAAAATATATTTACCGTTAGTACCATATTTTAAAAAATACTCATAAACTTTCAAAATCGACGTAAAAAAAGATTGGAGATAATATATGAGATGTTGATAGATAGTTTCGGTTCATATATTCGTGGTAAAGATTCTTGTACTTGATTGACTATATTACTAAAGTGTCAGACGAAAGATCTGAAGGTCGCATATTTGATCCACGCTCACCGCATGTGTTTAAGAGTAGAATTTAAGTGTAAGTGCTGGAAAAATGTTTTGTACTCGAATGATTATGTTATATGGGGAGAGCATAATTTTTTTTTTATATATTAATTTATTAATTTAAGAGTACAAAGTGCTCGAAAAAAGTTTTGTACTCGATTGACTGTATTATATGAGAGTTTTGCAGGGGTAGCTCAGTTGGGAGAGCATCAGATTAAAGATCTGAAGGTCGCGTGTTTGATCTATGCTCACTATTTTTTTATATTAATTTAAGAGTATAAAATTGCTCGAAAAAAGTTTTGTACTCAATTGACTGTGGTATAAGAGGGTTATGCGGGGATAGTTCAGTTGGGAGAGCGTAAGGTCGTGTGTTCGATCCACGCTCACCGCATGTTTTACAATTACAAGATCTAAAAGTCGCATGTTCACAACATGTTTTACAAAAAAGTCTTCTTAATTAAACGATACTTTTATATTAATATAAGAGTATAAAGTGCTTGAAAAAAGTTTTGTACTCGATTGACTGTGTTATATGATGGTTATGCGGGGATAGCTCAATTGGGAGAGCGGATCTTCATTGACTGTGTTATATGACGGTTATGCGGGGATAACTCAGTTGGGAGAGCGTCAGACTCAAGATCTAAAGGTCGTTCTATCCACGCTCACTGCATGTTTTACAAAAATCAAGTCTTCATAATTTAACGATAAAAGTAATCATGGGGACCTCATGCATTTATGTACGTCACGTGTATCGAGATACTTCCTTATTATATTATGTTAGTGCGGACGTGTACTTTCGATATTTATGTTCGCCACGATATCATGTGGGTCTTCCCCTTGTATGGTGTTCGATGACGCGTTAGCTCATTTAGCTCGATGAAGCTAGGCCCAAGAGGTACATATATGAGCCCACCTGGTGGGTCTATGTGCGCATGCGTGAGCCGTGTGTGGGGAAGTACCACACATCCAACCTTACCCGAAACGGGAAAGAGCTCAAGACCATGCTATGGTTTTAAAGGATACGTCCTATCATGTATGTGTGTTTGCATTTCCCAACTCCAACAATAAAACTACTTAATGTGTACCGTACGTCTTAGAATAAGTCATGTGCTACTCTTATGTTTCAAGTAAAAGTAAAATGCTCCTGTACAACAATGAATGCTGAAATTACTATAGAAATTAAGATAGGATAGTAGTTTTGGATGATAAAAGTCCCACATCGGCTAATTTAGGGAATGATCGTGGGTTTATAATCAAGGAATACTCTCTCCATTTACATGATGCCTTTTGGGGAAGCCCAAAGCAAAGCCACGAGAGCTTATGCTCAAAGTGGACAATATCATACCATTGTGGAGAGTCGTATTCATCTAACATGGTATCAGAGGTATGCCCTAAACTTAGTCGTGCCAATAGCTCAGAGCCATGCCCTAAACTTATTAATTAATTTTTAAAATTTTAAATTATTTATTATACATAAAATTAAAATTTTTTAAGTTTTTAAAAATATTTAAATTTATAGATTAAATTGAAAAAAAAAAAAATTGAGAAAGTAATTTAAAAATAGAAAAGAAAAACGAAATCTCACTCTTTCGGAAGTTAGAAGGCTTTGGCGCACAAAGGCTTCTTCCCCAACTCCCCACAAAACCCTAGAGACCAATACGAACACTTGCAGCATCTTCACTTCCGTGCTACTCCCACCTCCGCATCTCCAACAATGGCAGCCATGCTGGTAAGCTCTCCCAATCTCGCCTTCTTCTTTCTCCTTCTCGCATGAGATTTGCTGTTTTTTTTTTTTTTTTTTTTTTTTTCCATTTCCTTCACTATATCTGACTTTTGCTTGTCGGAGAAAATGTACAGCAACCTCAGATCATACTGCTGAAAGAGGGAACGGATACTTCCCAAGGCAAGGCGCAGTTGGTGAGCAACATCAATGCCTGCACAGCTGTGGCTGATGTGGTGCGTACCACCTTGGGACCTAGAGGTATGGACAAACTCATTCACGATGATAAGGGAAATGTCACCATTTCCAATGATGGTGCTACCATTATGAAGCTTCTCGATATTGTTCATCCTGCCGCTAAGATCCTCGTGGACATCGCTAAGTCGCAGGACTCCGAGGTATTGTTCTGGTGTTTTTGTTATTCTTTCTTGTATTTGTTGGTACTGCTGCTGGAACTGTTGTGTTTGATTCGTGACTTCCTGTTTGTTTTGGCATAGAGATATTGGGATGATTAGTTCCTTAATCTTGGATTTTTGTTATGTAATTAGCTCTTTTTGGTACTTGTGTTTCTCAATTTGTATTGATTTATTGCATATCAATTTAAAAGTGATATGAAGTGCCGATATTAACTTCTTTATATCATATTTTATTGACAATATTACATTGTGGAAGGGTGGAGATGATTCTTCATGTCACGTTCAGTAAGGGTGCTGAAAATGAGAAGATGTGAGGTTTTTAGCCATCGAGCTATCGTTTTTGTTGATAAAAAACAACTCCCTATAAAGTTTAAGAGTAGTTGCATATTCAATTTTTCCCCTTCTCCATTGCAGCAGGCAACTAAAGCAGGCTTTGGGACCTTACCCACCATTGTTTATTTTATTTTATATTTTAAAATTAACATTCCGGTTCTGTCTGATCTCTGATGTGAAATCAAGATTTTCTGTCAAGATTAACGATTTACTTCACATATTTCTGTTCAAGAAACGGAGGCCTTGGCTTTTGTGTGCTCGACTATTTTCACGTACCTCGAGTTGCATATTGAAATTTAATAAGTTTAAGTAAATCTTTTGTTCTCTATCACAAAGGATCAAGTATTCTTGAAATAACAGTGACACATTTTGAACCTTAAAGAGGTTTTTGGGTAATAGTTTCCTATATGCTCCCACTATTGTTATTATATATTTTTTTATTGGGTCGAGTTTTTCTATTTTCTCCATTGTACCTCCCTAGAAACTTAGGGGGGAAAATGAAAATGAAAAATGAAACTTTATATATGATCAAAGTGATGGGATTGTTCACGTAACTTCTTAATACTGTGTTCCAGGTTGGTGATGGGACAACAACTGTTGTTCTTCTCGCTGCTGAGTTCTTGAAGGAGGCCAAGCCTTTTATTGAGGATGGAGTCCACTCTCAAAATTTAATACGAAGCTATCGGGCTGCAAGCCAATTGGTCTGCGATTTTAGTTTCCCTCACTCTTACATTTATCGGTTGAATGGTCATCCTAACTCTCCTCTGATTGGGTTTGTTTGGTAGGCAATTGAGAAAGTAAAAGAGTTGGCAACCAGTATAGAGGGGAAGAGCTTGGAGGAAAAGAAAAGCTTGTTGGGTAAATGTGCTGCGACAACACTTTCATCTAAGCTCATTGGTGGTGAGAAGGATTTCTTTGCATCAATGGTTGTTGATGCTGTTATTGCAATTGGCAATGAAGATAGGCTAAATATGATTGGTATAAAGAAGGTGTGTACACTCATGTAATTCTTTTACATTCTTCATTGTTTTGCTCCATGGGTACAGATAACACTGTCTGGTGGAACATAAAATCAGCCTGCTGTGCAGTATTATAATGTGTTTTGACTTTTCTGAACTGAAGATGCCTAGCTAAATTGTCAACTTTGAAAGATCACGTGGGATAGTGATTTATTTATGTATGGTACTGTGATATATACTGTATTTCTTTAATGGACATTTAAAAATAATATAACATGTTGTTATACGCCTTTTGTGAACTTGAGGCAGTATGAAAAAGTTATTTGTTCTTAGGTGCCCTAGATCTTGAGTATTACAATGTCTAATTGTACCTTCTGCGTAATGCTTATTTTCAGCTGTTAAATTTTCCAGCGTAATGTTTGGTAGAGGTCAACTTTTGGCTCATTTCTTTATGCAATTCTGACCATTCTCTGCATTTAAACAGTGTGTTGCTGTTGAAACCTTCAGAATCAAAATTATTTTTCAAAGTTATTTATTTATATGTAATTTTTGGTTCTTTTATAGTTACTCTTTTATTAAGTTTCACCTTGAGTTGATTTTAATGAAAGGCTGGTACATTTGCTAATTGGTTATGCTCTGTTGGAATTTTTATGTGCTTGTCAGGTTCCTGGAGGGACTATGCGTGACTCCTTCCTGGTAAATGGTGTTGCCTTCAAGAAGACATTTTCTTATGCAGGTTTCGAACAGCAGCCAAAGAAGTTTTTAAATCCAAAGATTCTCTTGCTAAATATTGAATTGGAACTGAAATCAGAGAAAGAAAATGCTGAGATACGGTAGGATTCATTTTACCGACTTCCATCCCCCGCCTGTGTCTTTTTTGACTACTAAACTTCCAGAAATTGTTTTTTGTAGGCTTTCTGATCCATCGCAGTATCAGTCCATTGTTGATGCAGAATGGAATATTATTTACGAAAAGTTAGACAAATGTGTAGAGAGTGGAGCCAAGGTTGTTCTTTCGCGTTTGGCTATTGGTGATCTTGCCACACAGGTTGGTATTTGTCTTTCCCCACAATTATTGCATCTCCAGTATTCTT